CAGGCAGTGCATTCCAGACACAAAAACAGAAGTTGCTGGAAAAGCTCAGCAGGTCTGGCAGCATCTGTCAAGAGAAATCAGAGTTAACATTTCGGGTCCGGTGACCCTTCCTCGGAACTCCAGATCCAGAACGTTAATTCTGATTTCTCTTGACAGATGCTGCCAGACCTGCTGAGCTTTTCCAGCAACTTCTGTTTTTATTTCTGATTTACAGCATCCGCAGCTCTTTCGGTTTTTATTTAGTGCATTCCAGGTTCCCACCATCTTCTGGGTGAAAAAGCCTTTTCTCAAATCCTCTCAAAATCTGCTTTTCATTTTAAAATTATGCCTCCTTGTTATTAACCCTTCAGCAAAGGGGAAGAACCTTTCTATCTACACCATTCATGCGCCTCATAATCTTATACACCTCAATCGGGACCCTCTCAGCCTTCTCTGCTCTAAGCTTATCCAGTCTCTCCTCATAGCCAAACTGCTCCATTCTTGGCAATACCCTGGTGAATCTCTTTTGCACCTCCTCCAATACAATCATACCCTACTATAGTGCAATGACCAGAAGTGCACACGTACTCCAGCTGTGGTCTAAGTCCTGGACGGTTCTAGTATAACTTCCCTTCTCTCATAATCTATTCCATGATTGATAAAGGCAAATGTCCCATATATCTTCCTAAGTATCCTATGAAACTGTCCTGTTGCCTTAAGGGATCTATGGGCAAATACCCCAAGACCCCTCTGTTCTTCTGATATTATCCAGATAGTCAGATGGGATATTTCCAAAAGTAGAACCTCCCTGATTTAATTGTTAAGGGCAATGAAGAGATGCACTAAAGTACTGCAATTGTCATTGAAACTATAGAGAGTCTAATAACTAAAGGTACCCAATTAACATGTGAATATGACTGCCAACATGCAGCTCAATCTGAGTATAATTACAGAATACACTACAAATATTTTCACCTGGGTAAATAAACTTGACCAAAGTCTTTGTACATTGATATGACTCAATTAGGAAGAGTGCATCAATAGGCAATCAATAGCTGGATGTAAGTCTTTTCATGTATTAGAACCCTCTTCAGAATCTTCAAGGTTTATCTTTTTCATTCACAAAGAGATGGTGAGAGATGTTTCTTGTTTGTTGTAGGCTTTTAGATGTCTCTGAATGTTCTACACTCATAGGTCTTTGACAACCTGCAGCTGGACCAATTCAAAGTCTGTTGTTAGGCAGTTTCTCCTGATCTCAAAAACTCTTAGTTTCATTCTGTTTCATAAAGTATCCATCTTATACCTCAAAAAAGTAACATACTCCACTTGATCTCACTTGGTCTCCAAGTTGAAAAACTTCAGGTAACTTTAGCTATATAGCTGTCCAACTTCTGTTTCCAGTGTATAGTTCAAAAGGGGAAAAAAATCATTCCCTACAGCCTCCACCCTTAAAAGAGATGAAACCTAATGTTTACCTATGTTTCATTACAAGATAAACATGGCATGCACATAATAAGACCCAAGAACATACATCCATTCATCTTTACTCTTTCTTTAAGCAGGACATATACCATTTCTTGTTACATTTCCTCTAAAATTCTTAAGTTGTCTCAATATAATTACATTCTTTATGGTGTATCTGTTAGTAAGTGATCTTTTCCAGCACTGTGAACAATTTTCATTAAAAAATTGAATTAATAAGCTCCATTGAAATAATATCATTTTCAAATTTCAACTTTCTGTACAAAAGCACAAGGATTATGTTAATTGCATATTTGTGTTTTGTTGCAATCATGACAAACATAGACTTTGAAAGAGCCACAAATGATCCTAATGTCACTGTTTCCGATGTGGACTACTTGTTCTGATACTGGTTTGATTTCCTTCCATATTCCTGATTCATCAGCTTGTAGTGAAATAGTACTTACTGCCAAGTCACAAACATCAACTGCCCTTTTAAAAGATTAAGTGCAATCAGGGTGCCTGACACTGGTTTAAGTATTAGGATTGCCCTTAGTTCCTCTGTGTAAATTCTTCAAACTGTGGATGAATCTGTTTTAGTTAATGCATTTACTTTTCTGTAACCCATCAGAATCTAGTCACCCCGTCTAGGTTAGGAGCTGACATCTCCAGTGAACTCCAGCTGCTTTGTCTAGGTTCAGTCGTGTGATTTCCAACATGTATCTGAATCTCAGAGTCCATCTAAGCTGATTTTTACTTATGAAGTCTTCACCAGGTTAAATATCTGATTATTGATGCTTGAATTTTCCATATTATTTTACATCCTGCCATTGGAATTTCATGTGCAACTTGCAATATCGCCTGACAGTATTTGGGCTTAACCAATAAGGTTGCTCTTTATTGATACTGATTCCCTGACACATCATGTCTGATTAACATAATACATCTTGGTATATCGTTACAAATTTCCTTATACTTCCTAGGTAGCCTTGTTAGATCTTCCTGTTGTCCTTCCTCTAAGCACAAGAATACATTAATCAACTGTCCCAGTATTTCCATTTTGGCTAGTCCGACAGTAGAATGCTGGCTTTGTGAAGTATCTACCTCTACCTCTATTTCACTCTGTTGGCCTCCAATACTGGTACCACCTGACATACTTTCATTTTCTTATCTTCCCCTCCACAGTTAAATCAATTTAACTTATTTATGTGGCACAACTGATTCTTCTTCCTGCAATTTGGAGTATCTACCAGGTAAGTCAATTTAGTAACGCTCCTAACCACCTTATATGAACCAATGAACCTTGCTTTCAGAGGTTCACCTTGTAAAGGTAATAACATTAACGTTTCATCTACTATTTGAAATGTTCTAGTTGGAGCATATTTGTCTATCTATTCTTTTATCTTTGCCTGTGCATTTTTTAAACGCTCCTGTGCTACTTTGCATGGTCTTGTGAGGTTCTTTAGAAACATGGACATGTAATCCAACATTGAGAGTTTGTTTAACTTTCTTAAAAATGCTTCCTTTAATGGATTTCTGATCTCATGACCCATCAATCAATTTGAATGGATTAAATCCAGTAGATTCATTTGGGCAATCTCTGGTTGGAAATAACAAAGATTCCAACCTTTAGCCCCAGTCCTGTAGGTATGCCTGACAGTATGCTTTAAGCATTGTTTTGAGAGTCTAATGGGTTCTCTCCAAAGCTCCCTGTGTATGTGATTGATCAACAAGGGACTCCAATTATTTTTTGCCCAAGTTGCAGCTCACAGTGTGATCTCCTCTACATTGGGGAGATGAAACGTAGATTAGGCGATTGCTTTGCAGAACACTTATGTTCTGTCTGTAAAAATGACCGTCAGCTTCCAGTTGCCTGCCGCTTCAACGCACCACCATGTTCCCACAGCAACAATTCTGTTTCAGGTCTACTGCAGAGTTCCAATGAGGCCAGCATAATCTTGAAGAATAGCATCTCATCTTTCACTTGGGGACCTTGCAGTCTCTAGGACTCACATTGAGTTCAATAACTTCAGAGCTTGATTACATGCTTCCCTGTATTTTACTAACCCCATGCCCAATCCTGATATGACATGGGTTACTTATAGCACAGCCTATTTATTCTTTCCCCTCGTTATCACTTATTCAGCTTCTTTTCTGTCCTGGCTTACTATCACTAATCCTCCTGTTTGCCTAGCTCTTTCATATGTCCCTGTCTCTGAGCTCCATATCCACCTATCTGCTCATCTCCCCTCTGTCCCCCACTAACCCCATCTTCACCAGATATACTGTAACTTCTATCTGTTCTGATGAAGAGTCGATGGATTCGAAATGTTAACTCTGCTTTCTCCCCACAGATGCTGCCAGATGCCGAGTTTCTCCAGCGATTTCTGTTGTTGTTGTTTACTATGTTCTAGAAAAAAATCATAAATTTGGAAGCCTGGTCTGATTGTGGACTAAAGATGGAAATACAATGAGTAAAAAAGCTGAGTTAATTTTTCCACCACTGCTTTATCTGTAACTATCCTTAAGGGAGTAACTTCTAGAAATTAGGTTATCGTATCTATAACTGTAAGGATGTACCGGAGTTCCACTTTCACTATTGGTAATGGTCCCAAACAGCCTACTAATATACTACTGAATGGATCTTCAGAGGTTGGTATGGGTATTAAAGTGTCTGACTGATTACATGTTGAAATTTTCCTATTTCCTGCATTATGTCCTTATGAGGTCTTGGCCAGGTAAAATACCTGTTCATCAATGTTTGAGTTGTCTTCTTTGCCATTGGAATTTCATGTGCAACCTCCCACTTTCTCTTCAAAAGATGCACTAAACCCACAAATACACTAAGAGACAGAGAAACTACTCAAAGAAAGACATAGATTTTCCACCAGAGCTGCTCACCACCAATTTTTCAAGGGCATTTAGGGATGCACAATAAATGCTGGCCTAGCCGGCGAAGCCCACGTCTGTGTGTCTGAGTGTGTATATGTTACATTGTATTCCATCCGCCAAATCTTTGCTCACTCTCCTAGCCTGTCCAAGTCCTTCTGCAGCCTCCCTGCTTCCTCAACACTGCCTGTCCCTCCACCTACTTTTGTGTCATCTGCAAACCTAGCAACAATGCCCTCAGTTCCTTTGTCTAGATTGTTAATGTATAATGGAATAGATGGTGTCCCAATATTGTTCCCTGCAGAATGCCACTAGTCATGAAAGCTAATAGCAAGTCTTTCTTTCTATGGTACTGTTCAAAAGACATTCAGGAATTCTCTTGATTTTCCGTAGAACTAATGTTCCCCTGCCTGCAAGGGAAAAATGTTGGACACTCATGTAGGACAGGAAGTCATATGAATTTCATTGAAGTTCTTTGAGATCAATTGTATCACAGAGTTCAGTATTTCCAAACAGATCAAATTGCTTCTGACTGTTTTAATACATGTCTCATTCCATACTTAGACCACTCTGTCATCTCATCCAACTCTTCATGCCATCCTCTCCCTCCAATGCCATCCCAATTCAAACTGTTTCATCTTTTCCATATATCTTTCTGTTGCCAACCCTACCGTATTCCTTTTGGTCCTCCCATGTCATCTTCAACTTTTGCAGCAATGCCATCCCATCCCTCATGGGAAACAATCTCTCCAGTCATCCGGGGGAGCTTTGTTTCTGCTTCTCTTGAGCTTCATTATTTTTGTTCTCCACTAATCTGCCCATCCTGGCACTGGCACCAGGCGGCTTCATGAGTATCACATGCCAGCTTCAGTCCCAGCAACAGAAATTTCTGATGAAGGGTCTAGGCCCGAAACGTCAGCCTTCCTGTTCCTATGATGCTGCTTGGCCTCCTGTGTTCATCCAGCTCTACACCTTGTTATCTCAGATTTTCCAGCATCTGCAGTTCCTACTATCTCTTGCTAATTACTTGCCCATTTTGCAAATGTTATGCTACATTTGTGAGGATTTGTTAGATTGGTGGAGCAGGAGAAACCATGATGAAATTCACAAGATTCCCCTCCACCCCAATTCCACCTCAGTTTTCAGTAACACTGAGATCAAAGTTGTGATACAGTGATTGTCATTATAATTGCCAGCAGCTTCAAGGGTGGCACAGTGGCTCAGAAGCTGGCACTGCTGCCTCACAGCACCTGATTTTGATCCCACCCTTGGGCAACTGTATGTGTAGTGTTTGCACATTCTCCCTGTGTCTGTGTGGGTTTCCTCTCAAAGATATGCAGGTTATGTGCATTGGCCATGCTACATTGCCCATAGTATCCAGGGATGTGCAGACTAGGTGGGTTAGCTGTGGGAAATGCAAGATAGGTAGTTGGGATGCTCTTCGGTGGGTCAGCATGGATGTGATTAGCCAAATGGCCTGCTTCCATGCTGTAGGGATAAAAAATGTAGACTAAAAAAGCTCCCACAATTTGACATCTAAATTACCAAACTTGCTGTGATAAACTACAACTGTGCTATAGTGAGAAAAGTGGAAATATCACACAGACATGAATTTTTCTTTTAGTGTTTATCATTATGTTAATGAGCTACATGGAATCTACAATGGGTCGCTTGGCCTAGATGGTCCACAGCCCCTACCCCTATCTTCTTCATCTATTGACATACAGTATTAGCATAACTCAGTTAAATGTTTGAACATTACAATTTTGCAATGTTTTACTGTGTTTAAATATCCAATTATGCTTGATAAAGAATCTCTTGATAGTTCTACGTAAGGCAGAAAATAATGGCCAATTGCAAAATTGCACCATTCCCAGAACTGACAGCCTTCATCTTCTTTGTCACAAAAAGCCGAAGAACAATTTAAGTGAAATAAGAATCAAAGTGAATTGTTTCGGAAAAGAATCTTTAAGAGTCTTGGATTCCTTTGGAATGAATTTAGAGCAATGAGGTAAAGGGGGATTAGTGTTTCCAGGTGTAGAAAACATTATATACAACATGTGCTAAGCCAACATTTGCCCCTGGAGTCTCGTTTAATTCACTTGGAAGGAGACTGTTATTTTTAATTCAGCAATTTCATTTGCTGTTGGCAGAACTTATCAGAAATTAGGTCTAATTGCTACTGCAAATGTACCCAATGTCTGACTTTTCTGTCTGGATTTGAAAAAAAACTTACCTTTACACTTCTTTATTGCCTGCTACCTAACAACTTATTAATAAGCCTTCCTTAATTATTAATTCAGGACCATAAGCTCACGAAAATAAACTCTCACTACTTGTTGAATAAACAGAATATTTTTAATTTGAGACAATTATTTACATCAGCTGTACGACATTACTCAGTATGCTGGAATTTCGTTTAGTTTTATCTGTATTTAATGTTGTACTTTAGACAAAACTGAATTCCAAAGATTTTTCTTTAATATGCAAATCTACCCCAGAGCATCTTTGGCTTATTCAGGTGTTGTTCTTGCATTTAAACTTGACTTAACGTATAAAATAACTGCGAGTTCAGACCATCCAATAGGTTTGGAAATGCTGTGCTGTGTCACATTTACCCTCGTGGCTTTTGGATATTCCTAGCCTGTAGATACGTATATCCCATGAATGAATAATAAAAATTAATAAATACCAAAGTTTATTGGCAAAAGTGCACATCTTTAACTTTGTAAAAGGAAGTCACCAATCAGACATTTTATATGGAGAGTAAATGATTGCTAGAGTTGGCCTATAAAAGTGTCATATGTTGAACAAGATTTGGAAAATATAAATCATTGCAAGCAAAGCTCAAATGGATTATTTAGTCAGCAAAAACTTGAGACCAACCTTGAACATTCTCTCAAACATTGATTATTTTATTAAGTGATCAGGCTGGCCATGCATGATTTAAAACAATACAATTTGTACCATAGAGAGAGCATCAAACAACAATAACATATAGTGTTACACAGATAAGATCCTTGTGTGCAAATTGTGCAATGTAATACATATTTTTCAAACTCTTGTTAGATTGCATTAAATTGCACCTTCTTACCAACATTCCTTGTCCCCTGAAGATGCTGACTCTGTGAGTATGGGGCACTTTCTCTAAGTGGACATTATTCATATGCAAGCCTATAGAAAGGGATGTGGACCAGTATTTGTCACCCATCCCTGGTTCACAAAATCACAGAATTGTTATGGCCCAAAAAGGAAGCTGTTCAGCCCATCATGCCTGAGCCTTTCTATTACTTAGTGCCAATCTCCTGCCTTTTCCCCAGATCTCTATCGAAGTGATTTTTCAGTGCCTTTTCAAATGCCTCAGTTGAACCTGCCTCTACCACATTCCCAGGCAGTGCATTCCACACCCCAACTACTCACTGATTGGAAAGACTTTTTCTTACGTTACGCTTGCTTTATTTGCATATCACTTTAAATCTATGCCCTCTTTTTCTTTTTCCTTTTGCAAGTGGCCTTTTAGTTGCCCTTGAGAAGGTGGTTGTGAGCTACCTCCTTAAACCATTGCACTCCATTTGGTGTAAAGAGATTCACAATGCTCTTAGTAAGGGAGATCCAGGATCTTGACTGAGAGGCACTGAAAGACTAGTAATATATTGTCAGGATGGTGAGTAGCTTGGAGTGAAACTTGTGATGTTGCCATCTCTTATTGCCTTTATCTTTCTCGATGGAAGTGGCTGTAAGTTTGGAAGGTGCTAAGGAGCCTTGGTGCATTTCTGCAGTACACACTGCAGAAATAGTGCACACTGCTGCTACTGAGCATTGGTAGTGGACGGAGTGGATGTGGTGCCAATCTAGAGATCTATTTTGTCCTGGATGGTGTCAAGCTTCATGATTGTGTTGTTGGAGCTGCAACCATCCAAACAAATGGTGAGTATTCCTGACCTTTGACTAGCAGATGATGGATACATAGGAGATGTTATTTGCTGCAGGAATCCTAGCCTCTGACCTAGGCTTGCAGCTACAGTATCTAAATGGCTAGTCCAGTTCAGTTTCTGGTCAATGGTAGTCCCCAATATGTTGCTAGTGGGGGATTTAGCAATAGTAATGTGATTAAAGGTTAAAGGGTAATGGATAGATTCTCTCTTCTTGCAGATGGTCAATGCCTGGGCACCTGTGTGGCAAATGTTTCTTGACACTTTTTGGCCCAAGCATTGATATTGTCCAGGTCTTACTGCATTGGAACATTGGTTGCTTTAGTATCTGAGGAGTTTCGATTGGTGCTGAACTTTGTGCAGTTATCAACAAACATCCCCACTTCTGCTCTTATGCTATCCTGAGACTATTTTTGGAGTTTTAGATTCACCATTCAGGAGATCAAAACTCTCAACATTGAAAAACAAAACTCTCACCAAGCATATCAGATTGCTTGATGATGTAGGGTGTAATTATCAGCACATTAAACCCACAAGCACACCGCTGCACCATACATTTCTGCCGTAGAAAGCAATATAATTGCAGATAACATAAGTCTTTACTTAATATTGTCTCATAAAAGACAGAAAGAAATATGCTGGTATTTGTACTACACTTTTCATGATCATAGATCACCCCAAAGAACTTAACAGCCAATGAAGTTTTTGGAATTAATGTTACAATGTAGGTAACATGTTACTGCCTTTGAATTTATTATTGAATGGAAATTTAACTGGAATGTGGTACAAAGAACGACTTTTGAAAGTTTTATACAAAGATCACTAGATTGGAAAATTTTATCTCAAGATATCCTGTTACAGGCTGAAGCCTTTTGACTACCAAGCCAATAACAAAATACAACAGTATAGCATATCTTGGGCAACAAAATATTCCCAGGCATTTGACACGCAGGAGTTGGACCCAAGCAAGGATAAAGCGGGAGAGAGGGAAGGTTCAGTGTGTCAATATTAAGGGGCTGTTTGAAATTGCAAAAAAATGTAGGGAGTTTAGACATTTAACTCCAGAGTGTGGCTGTAGGGTGATTAGAAGTTCCACTGGGGATATGGGAGTAGAGGAATTAACGTGAGATGGAGTAGAATCAAAGGAATATAAGCATGAACATGGAATTAGGTGGAGCGTAGTCTTGGACAAAGATTAACAAATTCCTGTTTAGAACAGGATGTGGGTAGCGGGGTATGGGATAACTATTTCTGGAGGAGCGTGGCCAGAGAAATGTTGGAAAAGTTAAGTCTGAAGGGGATGAGTATGTAGATGAATGTTGCATTGGTAATTTGAATTAAGTAAGAAGGGAGATTAGCAATATTTCAAAACTGGAAGTGATGGACTGGAAATGGCTTATATGCTCATCTCAGGGTTGAAAAAGTAAGAAAGCAATAGCAGTTCTGGATGATGAACAAGACGTCAGGAAAGGTTAGTTGTGAATGTCAATAATAAATGGTAACAGAATGAGTTTGGTGATGTCAATGTTGAATTACAAGAAGTGCAGTAGAGAGAGAGCAATGAAGGTTTACCAGGCTGATTCTTGGGATGGCAGGACTGACTTAGAACAGTACAGCGCAGGAACCGGCCTTTTGGCCCAAAATGTTGTGCCGAACATGATCCCAAATTAAACTAATCCCTTCTACCTGCCTTTGGTCCATATCCCTCCATTCCTTGCATATTCATGTGCTTACCTAAAAGTCCCTTAAATGCCCCTTTCATATCTGCCCCCACCACTATCCCTGGCAGCGTGTTCCAAACTCCTACCACTCTGTGTAAAAAACG